CGTATTATCGAGATCTGTCCAAAATTGAATCAACAAAATTAATCAATTCGGCGTTTATATGATGCAGGCGATTATCATACACGTACTAAGCACGTTTCAAGCAGATGTATTGATATCTTGCAGACTTGTACCCCGCCAAATGTCCCTATGACAGAACATGAACCATGATACGTTAGTTTTTTATGGTTCACTTTTTTAATATGGATTTGTGGCCGACAGCATTGACTTTATGTCGGCCCAGAATGGCACATGTTTGTAAACACTTCCCTGAATCCCTGTGCAAAAAAAACTACAATAATGTGCCAGAACACCCGATTTTGATTTTCAAGTTTTGGATTTGCTTGACCTGACCTTGCTTGTCTCGTCCTCTTCAATTTCTTTGGAAAATGGCCTTTTTTAGACTTGTTGCCGCATTTTCGAGAAGAGACGAACCGGGGCCCTCGAGAAGCGTTTTAATTTGCCGATCCAACGAGTGGCCGCTGGAGTAGATACCAAGCGTGGAGGCAGACACGATTCTTAGACAGTGCCGAGTTAAGTACACCGGCTAGGAAGGCAAAGACATTGTAATTTGATAGTTTCGTTTTGTTACTAATTATCATTTTGGCTATGCCATTGGTAGGTATGATAAGTAATTTTGTTGTTATTTATGCTCACCTCATTACAGTGAAGAAAAAAAAGACACTTAAAATCGCAACTTAGTACGGGCATTTCTGCGAAAGCATGCTCTCAGCGTTGACCGGTGGAAAACACCTGCCTCATGAATTAACTGTTCCTCTTAATTGTGCAAAACCTGCCGACGATACAATTATGTTTTTTTCGAAGCACTTCTGTTTGCTTCCCCGTGTAATACAAATGTTTTAAAGGTGTGCAGTCATAAGCAACAAAAGTGCTAAAATATTTTGAAGCATATTTCGCCTTAAAAAACGAAACGACTCCGCTGTTATTGTGGTGAAAAACGGAGTCCCGAGTTGGTCCTTAGTTGTTGTTTTGTTTGTTGTTTTTTTTTGCTACGGATGCCAGTTTTTGTCTGCTATTGTAGGCCTTATATAATTTTAGGTGCTGGCTGCTTCATTTTTTTAGATGGTTTTTGTTTCAATTTATCACATAATCGAGACAAACTGCCGGAGGTCGTTGGGGCGGGGGGGGGGGGAGGAAGTCCTCTCCCAGAAATACCAGACTCCAGTACTATAGCTGTGCGGTACAAGTCGACATGTGTGCTTTTGGAAGCATCACAAAGGTGTTTGTCAGTCCCTAAATGTATTTCTCTAAAATACTGCTTTCGAGATATCTCCCTGCCTGTTTGACGTGTCCGCGTCAGTGACCTGTGCGCTTGCATCAGAATACGTGACGCGGACCTGAGAACAACGCTTTATCAACCTGATGTGTGATTATCAACAGAAAGATTTTCGTCGGTGAGGAGAATTTCCAAGCATTAAAGAGACTCGATACTTGAGAAGAGCGTGAAACATACAAGCCTTACCAGATACTGAAGACATGAGAAGCCTCACAAGCTCAAAAGTTGTGTTCTTAAGCAGCTTCAATGAACATTTTATGCATGAAGCTGCCGTGGACAGATGATCGCAAGTTCCGTTTTCTCTGCGACAACACACATGTGGTCTGCATAGACGAACGCAAACTTATTAAATAAATTGTACATGTTTTGGCCAATGCACAAGGCCATGATAATCTACCCGATGGTCCTGTATGCAAATCCATTATAATCGACGTTTTTACGTGAAGGGTAAGAATGTGTCATGAAAATTTCATTATTACAAATCATATGATACCTGTTCGAATATCGTTAAATCATAGTGTGTAGTGATTGGTGTTTGCAAACCAAACCCGGAAAATAAATTTGATATGGCGGGGAGAGTGAAGTGCGTTAAGCTTTCATATAAATAAAGCATGTCATATATACTGAGTGATTGGAATGCACGACCTATTGTACTATGTCTATATCATTGTACGCAGTGGGTATGCATGCATTGCACAATTACGTACATGGTTCGTATTGTTAGTCGTCGCACGTTTTCCCCACGAAATCGACAAGCTTGCCAGCTAGAATATGTGGTGACATACACAAACGCCGTAATGATCTTGCCACTACTATAAGTGTAAAATTCTTTATCACCGGCTGGGAGGACCAGGATCAGTCGACGCTCGCGCAGCATCCAACGGGTCGTATTGCTGGCCTGACTCTGTGGCCTGCCGTTCATGTGGGCCGTCCTGTCACAGCCCGTGTGCCGTCCCGTTCGGCCTGTCACAGCCCGTGTGTCGTCCCGTTTGGCCTGTCACGGCCCGTGTGTCCTCTCATTGGGCCTGTCACAGCCCGTGTGCCGTCCCGTGCGGCCTGTCACAGCCCGCGTGTCGCCCGCTCGGCCTGTCACGGCCCGTGTGTCGTCCCGTGCGGCCTGTCATAGTCCGTGTGTCGTCCCGTTCGGCCTGTCACAGCCCGTGTGTTCGGCCTGTCACAGCCCGTGTGTCGTCCCGTTCGGCCTGTCACGGCCCGTGTGTCCTCTCATTGGGCCTGTCACAGCCCGTGTGCCGTTCAGTGCGGCCTGTCACGGTCCGTGTGTCGTCCCGCCCGGCCTGCCACAGCCCGTGTGTCGTCCCGTTCGGCCTGTCACAGCCCGTGTGTCGTCCCGTTCGGCCTGTCACAACCGTGTGTGGTCCCGTTCGGCCTGTCCCAACTAGTGTGCCGTCCCGTGCGGCCTGTCACAGCCTGTGTGTCCGGCCTGTCACAACTCGTGTGTCCGGCCTGTCACAGCTCGTGTGGCCGGCCTGTCACAACTAGTGTGCCGTCCCGTGCGGCCTGTCACAGCCCGTGTGTCCGGCCTGTCACAACTCGTGTGTCCGGCCTGTCACAGCTCGTGTAGCCGGCCTGTCACAGCCTGTGTGTCGTCCCGTGCGACCTGTCACAGCCCGTGTGCCGTCCCATGTGGCCTGTCACAGCCCGTGTGTCGTCCCGCTCAGCCTGTCACAGCCCGTGTGCCGTCCCGTGCGGCCTGTCACAGCCCGTGTGTCCGGCCTGTCACATCCCGTGTTTTCGGCCTGTCACATCCCGTGTGTCCGGCCTGTCACAGCCCGTGTGTCTGGCCTGTCACAGCCCGTGTGTCCGGCCTGTCACAGCCCGTGTGTCTGGCCTGTCACAGCCCGTGTGTCCGGCCTGTCACAGCTCGTGTGTTGTCCCGTGCGGCCTGTCACAGCCCCCGTGTCGTCCCGTGTGTCCGGCCTGTCACAGCCCGTGTGTCGTCCCGCTCGGCCTGTCACAGCCCGTGTGTCGTCCCGCTCGGCCTGTCACGGCCCGTGTGTCCGGCCTGTCACAGCCCGTGTGTCTGGCCTGTCACAGCCCGTGTGTCCGGCCTGTCACAGCTCGTGTGTTGTCCCGTGCGGCCTGTCACAGCCCCCGTGTCGTCCCGTTCGGCCTGTCACAGCCCGTGTGTCCGGCCTGTCACAGCCCGTGTGTCGTCCCACTTGGCCCGGTCTGGTCCGTCGTCTCCGACGCGTCTCGCTGCGGCGGCCACGCCCAGAATGCCCTCTCCCACGCAGTCGGCCGCTCTCGCCGATGCCAGCCGGTTTCGCCGACGGTTGAGATCGGGAACGCGGTCGCTGGGCTTCTGGGTCGCCGCTGGGTGATGCGTACATCCGGGAGTGACGTGACGTGACGTGACGTGACGTGACGTGACGTGACGTGGAAAGTCCGGCGACAGCGGTATCAGACTGATGCCTCACGTCCCGGACGTAGACCCATGCGGCAGACGTGCGCGTTGTTGGGCGTTGGTGTGGTGTCAGCGCATTGGGATGAAACACGTGGCTTTCTTTGCGCTAACGTGTGCTCAATGGTGCCACACCAGTCACGGTGATGAAACACTACTTGGAAGGTCAGCGGGGCAAATGGTCGTCTGGGCTGATGAAACATTTAGCGGAAGCCATTTATATGTAGTCCGGCTGTGATGTAACTCAGGGCGCGGTAAACGCGCGCGAGGCAAGGGAGGGATAAGCCTTCCAACTGTCCGGTATGTACGTTAAAGTGGGCGCTGTATGGGCGTTAGATGACGAGAAATAACCAGTAACCACGATCGCCACCCGTCCCACCACAACCGCGGAGCACTTCCGTTGTTCGTGGACGTGATCTCCGACATAAGCAATCATAAAACCAATTCAGGGCAGCTTCACTCTCTACAAAACTTTCAGATTCCTTGACATGAGTGCATCATGTATTCAAATTAAGTGATGCATAAGCACGCTATGTTTAGTGCACGACACAAACAAATGTTTTGGCGGGAAAGTCTGTCGAAATTATTGTGAAAATTGAACCACGGTTTCCATGGCGCCAAAATGCATACCAATGCACATGTTTTCGGAGTTTAAAGAAAGGTTTTCTTTATTTTTGCATCAGTGCAGAGCCAGCAATGCATTGTATAGACTAATTACATAGGACAGGTGCATAGATAGACTCGTCACAGTAATTCTAGAAGCTGAATTATCTTTTCCACACCGCTAAAAGGCTTGACAATGCCCATGTCTTTCGGGATTTAATGAAGCTGTTTTAATCCCAAGAAGTTTTATTGTTATTATGGTGTTGATTTTCATCATTGGTTGTATTTAGAACCAGAAGTCCACTGGATATCACAGGCTTGCAGAACTTACGAAACGTAAGAATAATGAAGCGAGTCCATGTAGTGTATTAGGCAAGTCAACCACAAGCTAAACGCGTTCCATATCAGTAGGCATATTGTTTGTTATATTGATATATAATGTTTTACGTGTGAATTTGATTATGAATGTGTAAATTTACATGGATGGTCGGTATATGTTCCTTAATCGCTTATTTGTAGCTCAATTTACCGGACGATTTTTGATGTGGTTACGGTTACAACATGGGTCATGTTTTTCCGAGCGTTTACATACTTCTCCGAGACGCCTTTGAAAGCTTTCGGAGCATGCCCGATTCCTGCTCTGATGCTGTGCGGCGCTAGATGCTCACAACTCTGCCGCAGCTACATGAAATCCGAGGTTGACCGGCGGAGCGAAAAGCCATCTCCCGAGGAGGCGGATGCGGCTGAGATCGACGACTACGACTATGTGCCGCACTTCCAGCGGGTCTCCATCTCCGGAGAGGACACCAGCGGGGTAGGTACACTTCCAGCGGGTCTCCATTTCGGGGTGTACCTACCAGAGTGTCTCCATCTCCGGAGAGGACACCAGCGGGGTAGGTACACTTCCAGCGGGTCTCCATTTCGGGGTGTACCTGCCAGAGTGTCTCCATCTCCGGAGAGGACACCAGCGGGGTAGGTACGCTTCCAGCGGGTCTCCATTTCGGGGTGTACCTACCAGAGCGTCTCCATCTCCGGAGAGGACGCCAGCGGGGTAGGTGTACACCTTCAGAGCGTCTCCATCTCCGGGGAGGACACCAGCGGGGTAGGTACGCTTCCAGCGGGTCTGCATCTCCGGAGAGGACACGATTGGAGCAGGTATGCTCTTGCTAGTCCCCATCTAAGTTGAGGGCACCAGTGGGTAACCGTGCCTCCGACTGGTTTCTATCTTTGAGTAAAACACTGCAATGGAAAATTTGTGCACGTTTGCCAGTCGCACCCAGTGGGTTTTTATCTCCATCTGGTAGAGGCAGAGGCACTACATAAAAGCCTGCCACCTTCTACAGGGAGTTTCCGTTAAGGATTGACTCGCAGTGCTTTAACAGCGACATTGGGACCTCTCGTCTCCACATTGTTGTCTTTGGTCAAGCGAAGAGATATTTTAAAAATTATTCCGTGATTGATAGCGGACATGTTGTTCAGCCATTCATAATTCATTGACAGTATGAGGTGACAAAAGAGAATAGCCATCGTGGCTTATACCACATTTCTATTGTCGCTAATACCAGAATACACAAACACAATTGATTAGGCATTCTTGTCTGGAAGTTAGATGCTTTCCCTGTCGGCCGCACTCACTCTTTCTCCCAGACAGTGTCGTCAACGAAAAATACGGCTTGCAGACAAACTTTCCAAACGTTTATGTCCAGGTGGCAGCTACATACATCGCGTGGTGTATGCGGGGTGTCTGGCACTGATAGGTCATGCAGCCCTTCCATGGCGACCTGTGACGTGCGGCACGGGGTCTGGCTTTGCTGTTTGATGTTCTCGGCGATGTTTTGCCCGAGTCGTATTGTACTGTATTCACGTCGCAGCACATCCCAATATATGATGCATTCTATAAACAGATAAGATACAGACCTGGCCATTTCTGTGCCATGTCATGACTTAAACACTCCCGGGTATGGAAACACTCATTCGTTCAACAAAAGGCCTACACGTCTTACATCCATTAAGAGCGCGTGCTCACGTCCCGATGACTGTAGGAACTCTCGCTTAGTTGTTGCAGCAAAGCATGGGTGGTAAGAGCCCTCAAGTAGTGTGGCGGGAGGTTGCAGTCGTCCGGAGCCTGATGGATAACCTGCCGTTTGCCACTGTTCTGACGCACCTCGGGCACCCTGATATGTGACAGACGGGTGCGTCTTCCCAACATTTCAATGTTTGTGTTGAGTATATTTGCCGATGCTGATGGTTGTCCCGTTGCCCCGTGATGGCAGGTCTGGTGGAGTTGTTTCAGCTCTGGCAGTCATCACAGCACCCGCTGTTTGACTTCCGATCTGCGCGAACTAGCTGTTCATGACGTTTGGGTCGACCTCAGGAGCTGTGCTCGGGCCGTCTTCATCGCCAGCGATGATCGACCGTTTGCCTTTATACGAACCGCTTGGCCCTGCCTCACGGATTTTCCCCGGATGTGCTCACGGCTGTCATTACGGATGGCTGATTTCGTCAGTCTTCTCAGCTCCTCGTAGCGCTGATGATCGCCCGAAGCCAGTGCAGCGATCCTATGGAGTCGTTTCGTGTCATCATCTGTAGATGCCTATGCGACTTGTTTGGGTATTTCGTGTGCGGTCCTGTCACATATCACCTTCATCGGTCCTCGCGCATTATGACGTGAGTTATGTATATGATTGTGTGAGACTGACACCCAATTAGACAACCGCAGATGCAGGCGGCACGCATGCCAAGCGTTTCATTGGACGTGTTTATTGAAAAGGTCATGACGCGCTGTTCCCATTGGCTGTACTCAGTTCTTTGGATGAGCTTTTTGTTATCGGCAGAAGGGATGAAGGGTGCGGGACCAGCTGATGTTCCCAAACTTGTTCAATTGTACAGGCTATTATCGTTCGCTGAGTTTTCAATACCTTCCCGCTAATTTTTGTGGTTTCAAACTACCTACATTTTCTTGAAGTATGAAATGCTATACATTCATATGATTCAAATAAGTTCATAAAGAGTTAAAGCTTAGCATATTCGCAAAATGGTAATGCATGCTCGGCACAGTTACGTGCGACCGATGTTAGCGGTAACAATGCGGGATTGTTTGGTCCCCAGAAAAAAATGAAAACTGTCACGTTTGCCCTGCTATCAGATCCTCCACACTTGGACACCCCGTGCAGGCGAAAAGCGCGGTTGACTGGCGGGTGATTCGTCGTGGACTCTGCCGCCAGGGGCGCTGCGAGCGCTGCAGCGCAGTCATTTATAGCCGGATGTTGTAGAGACAGCCCCGCCCCTTCCCCGCCCCGCCGCAGCCCCCCTGTGCTGTTAGAATCGGATCGCTCTCCGACTCTCAGCACGCTGCTGCTGCACCATTGACCGAGCTGGTTAGGTTTAGCTCCGTCGTGGGGCCTCCTAGAATGTGGCACAAACATCGAATCCGCCGGAGGAGAGGGCTGTCCCCAGAGACTAGTGTCGGTCGGGTATGGTTGCAGCGGCAGGTCTCGTTGCGTGTCCTCCAACAAGTGCAGGTTTTTTTTCTCCTTGAACACGTAGGAGGCTGCAACCGGTGAACATGTATTCGATTAATGCCCTATAGCACTCCGACGACGAATGTTGACCTCCGGACACCTAGCCGGGAGCAGATGGCCCATTGGGTGTACCACCTTGACCTGTAGACCTGACACGAGCACGGCGTTGACGCTGTACACTGACCTGCTGACCTGCGCCAGGTGCCGGCCGAGGACCTGCGCAAGGCCTCCCAGCTGCTGGTTCGCGCCCTGGCCATCCGGGAGCGGTACATGTCACTCTCCCGACAGCAGTTTCCGGACACGGCCGCCCGCTTCCTGCGCACCGGCACGGCCTCCAGCACCGTGTGTCACGGCGTGCGCACACACATCCGAGGTGAGTGGTCTGGCGCCCGGGGGGAAGGCGGCCGGAGCCCCGACGGGCCGAGGACAGGCAAAGCCGGCGGCCCGCGCGTCTCGCGTACTCGCGGATGGCCGACGCCGGCTGTGAGGTCAGCAGCGACGTGGTGCAGGCACAGCGATTGGTGGACTCGGATGACGTCACGCGTCCCGTTTCTCGCGGTGGATATGTGCCGGGGGTTCCCTGTTCACTAAGCACTTGTTTGCGGCGCCCGGTATCGCTCGGAGTTGTCTGGCGACCGGCGCCCTGTTGTCGAAATCGGCGCGTCCTTCGTCCAGAACGTTCAGAACCTGCAAGAGACTGGACTCGGTTTGCGGGCTTCGCTTCGTTGCTCAACATCTTGTCGGTCGAAGATGTCCCAAGTGAGAGTTCCGTCGAGCAATTCACTGGCTCCCTTTGAATGCACCTGATCAGCATTGTACTTTCAGCCACTTTCAAGGCTGGTAAGTTGTTGGCATCTGCAAGTAAGCGCGTTTGCCCTTCTCACCACTAACTCACAAGCTCGGTCATGTCGTTGCGCGTGAGTGACTGGTTTGTACGCCTCCACGCGCCACGTTTGGGACCGCTTGGCGTCTGTATCGTGTGTGACGTGGCGTTTTGTGCGCAGTGCCTACCCATTATGTCCCCAGCTCGGTCTAGACGCGTGAGCCGGCCCCTTCCCAGTGCGGTGCTCTCATGCCTTTTCCAATAGCGGTCACTGACGCGGTACGCGTATGTGTGCACAGAGGCTTGGGTTTAGTCGGCGCTCTCTTACAGAACGTAAAGTTGCGCCGGGCTTGCAACTGAGACGAACTTGCCGGCACTTACAGGAGCATTGTACATATGTACCAGTTCAGAACAGAACCTGCACGCCGAAGGCACATTTGTATACATGTACATATGTTATGAATAAAACTGGCCGCGTTAGTCTGCCAACATCTGTTAAACAGTCTTCTTATATAGGCCTGTACATTCTGCTGGCTCAGTTTGTGAGTAACCTTCACCTGACATTGGTAAAAGTAAATGGCACCGGTAAATCAGGCCAAAATTCAGGATACATGAGTAATATGGTTCTGTGGTCTTGTTGCCGGTTGTTCTCCATATTACAAGCGCTTGTGTCTTCTATCATCACCTGCATACGTAGCGTCGTTTGGTATACCCACAAAAGAATCAATAACTCTACCTGGGGCAAACCAACATTTTCTGTACTGCCCAATGCCATTGTTCTTTCAGTCAACTGTCCTTTTTCTTGCTGATGTTTTTGAGAGTCCAAAGCCATTCGGGGGAGCTCCTACAACTTATTGTTATTTACGCCGGCACCTAGCAGCATATTGTTCGTCTGGACAGTGCTGATTCCACTGGACTGCGTTCTTTCACTACGACATCGGGCGCGGCTTGACGCGCACCCTACCGCCGATGAGCGCGTGACCTCGCTGTAACCGTGACCCGTGGCGGCGGCTGTACCGCAGAGCACCCGGTACACGCGCCGTCCACCGACAACCCGTGGGAGGTGGACTGGCTGCCGCCGCTCGACTACACGTGCGAGATGGTGGGCGGGGTGTACCAGGTCAGGGACGCCTCCGGCCAGGTCAAGGATTTCGCTTACCCGGAGCTGGAGCAGTTCTTCGCCGACTTCACCTACTTGTGCACCATCATTGCTGACGGGCCCCTGTGAGTAAACGGAAGCGGGTGGTGTCCAGCTGTCCTGAACAGAAGGCAGGTATCTTTCCTCCTGGGGAAGACTCTGTTGTCATTGGCGCTTTGACTCATTGGGCCATTTTTGTTCTGTGGTGATGGTACCGACGATAACTGCTTTTTTAAGGTACTCGTGAGGCAACTGGGATATATATATATATATATATATATATATATACATCTATAGATAAATAGATAGATAGATAGATAGATAGATAGATAGATAGATAGATAGATAGATAGATAGATAGATAGATAGATAGATAGATAGATAGATAGATAGATAGATAGATAGATAGAGAGCGAGAGAGCGAGAGAGCGAGAGAGCGAGAGAGAGAGCGAGAGAGGAGAGCGAGAGAGCGAGCGAGAGAGCGAGAGAGAGCGAGAGAGAGAGCGAGAGGAGAGAGAGAGAGAGAGAGAGAGAGAGAGAAGAGAGAGAGAGAGAGAGAGAGGAGAGAGAGAGAGAGAGAAGAGTACAGGAGAGAGACGAGAGAGGGAGGAGGAGAGGGAGAGAGAGATGACAGAGAGAGAGATAGGAGAGAGAGAGGAGAGAGGAGAGAGAGAGAGAGAGATGATGAGAGGGGAGAGAGAGACGAGACGGGACCGGAGAGAGAGGAAGAGAGAGAGAGAGAGTGAGAGAGTAGAGAGAGAGAGCGGAGGAGAGAGGAGAGAGAGAGAGAGAGTAGAGAGGAGTATTGAGGTAAGGATGAGAGAGAGAGAGAGAGAGAGAGAGAGAGAGGTCTTGACACACGCCGGGATAGCCGGCGAATACGCTTTGGTCGTGTAGATATTGAGAGAGGGGGGGGGGGGCAATTCGGCCCCCTGAGATGCCAACAAATAAGAGCTAAAGACACCAAGTTTTCAGGATGGGTTGGCTTGTAAGTGAACTCACGTATACTAAAATTTTAGGTTCCTGTGTAATGTTCTCCAGGTCAAACAAGGTCAAACAAGTTCAGACTCAAAATTGGTGCTCAAAGTAACCCTGACCTCCTCATGCAACCGCCTTGAACTTAGATGCATGTTCAGAGCAAAAAGTCACTGGTGTTTATTTGAGGTCAGTGATCTTTTTTCATCTTAAAAAGGGTCGTGGTGTTCGAAAGTCCTTTGAGATTGTCCTAATTGTTGCGTTTGAATCAGCGTCAAGGATTAACGCCAGGTGGCATGTTCCTAAAGGCAAAATGTTGCCATGCATTATTTTAGGTAAGAGATCTACTCTGACATATGAAAAGCTCATGTAAGATGTCTGTTGCGGTCACTGTTAGTAATAAATTCGAAATGACTACCCAAAAACTACCTCATACAACAAGCTCTCGAGTAAAAAACCAGGTTAACGACTATGGCTTCGTCTAACACTCCGTTGTCGCACTAGATTGAATATTTCCATAGGAATTGCCTTAACTGGCGGCCACGGCCTGGCTTTGACGTGCCATATGTCAGTAACCTTACAAGATGCATTCTAGTTTTTTGTACCAAAATATCCGCTATTTGATTTCCCACGGCAATGCAAAGTTTGGCGCGGTTGCAGCACGTCGTTCGGAAATTGCTCTGGAAAACTTGGGGGGGGGGGGGCACGGGTCAGATTGACCCCCACTACCCGAACGTGTTAACCCCTGAGTGTATGAACTAGGTTAGGGTGGCGTTTTTGCGTTGATTTTCACCACTCCATGTAAGTCAGCTTGCTTTCCGCTAAGTTAGACCATTATAAGCGGTCGTGTTCAACCGCTTATAATGGTTGACTCTTTTCGCTGCAAAGAGAAACTCACGTTCACAACATGTACCGTCGGAAACACAACCGTCGGTATATCATCTTTTCCTGGCCCAACAATGAGGCTTTCAGCGTCGACAAAAAGGAGCCTGGTTTTTATATGGTGCTCCAGTTGGAGCTGCCCCATAAATACCACCCCAGCGAGAAGCGATGCCCAGAAGCGTCGGCTGGTACGCGGGCCAAGCCCCGGCCGTTGGCGAGCGACCGGAGATTGGCATTGTTCTCTGGGATGTGTTCGTCGTTATTTGGCAGCGCAATCAGGGGGCGCGAAACTAATAAGGCCAGAGGGGAGCACCATTGACTGGGCTGATCCTCTTATTAGTTTCATCCGGCGCTTTTTTCGCGATGTCTGCGGCCATCGACCCAGATCTGCGACCACTAAAATCGACAGCAGCGCCGCCTCGTGACAAGAATGTCGATCGCCAGCGGCCTGTGTTCAAGATCGTTACGCCGCGCCTGGCCCGAGTATCAAAATTTCCGATCTGATCTGACCCGAGCCGATCTGAATGCGGGATAGTGGTGTTGAATTCTTGGAATGCGCTTATGCAAATCAGTTGGGGCGTCGGAGGGTGCTGCCAACCCTGATCAATGCACGGAAGTGCCTGCATTACTGGTGGCACCACCAAGGTTATCACTGTCACCCCGGCGGTACAGCGGAGCTGTAAATCTGTTTCATCACCGCTTCCTCAGCCTCCAGTTTCACTGTGCGTTGGAGTGGTAAGAAGGACCTTAGTGCTCGACTTATGGTTCATGAACTTTCTGGTATGCACAACTGTTGCGAAAAAAAAACTCATTTAATGGTTGCCAAGGGTCACATATATATTTGTTTTTGCAATAGATAGGCATATATTGTCATCGCCCTAGAGGCGGCGTAGACGACTGCTTAAAAGCAAAACGTACTTTTATTAATAAAGGACCCGAAGGAGAAGAGCAAGGTCCTGTGCATCGAGCCTAAACGTAAACATACACTCGCCCTATATCTCAAGATGTATGTGAGCTATCAGGGTCTTCGGCAGATTGGCCCAGTGTTCGTCCATTATCGCGCAGCCAGGAATGCAACGACAGTGTGAAAGTCCTGATGACCCCTCCCCTGAGAACTCCACGGACCGGTACCCAGTTCCTCTGCCCCCCCCCCCCGCCCCTACCGTCTCCCGGTCTCCCGTCTCCCCCCCCCCCCCCACCCACCCGCCGGCTGCGGCTCTGACGGCCGCGTGCCGCACCCGTTCCAGGAAGTCGTTCTGCTACCGACGTCTCACCTACCTGTCATCCAAGTTCCAGCTGCATGTGCTGCTCAACGAGCTGCGCGAGCTGGCTGCGCAGAAGGCCGTCCACCACCGCGACTTCTACAACGTCCGCAAGGTACCTGGGCTTTCCGACCTCTCCCCCCCCCCCCCCTCTCGCCGAGCCAGGTGTCGGCACGACCGGGGTGGGAATACCAACAGGCAGTACATTTGGGCACGTCGTCTTGTTGCTATAATCGGGCGCCATCTGCAGCGTGGGCTGAGCGTCTGACGGTTTAGCGGCCCCTCCCCTCTAACCTTCGGACCAATGCCAGTGGCCTCGGGGGAGAAGCGGATGTGGCTTGCACGGTCGGTGTGATGTAGCGAGGTTAAGCCCCACTTATTACCGTATTTTGTCGCTTTTCATTTCTCTCCCACTTTGCCTTGTTCACCGGTAGATTATAAAAAAGCACTGCCGCGTTAAGTGCGGCACGACTGAGTCAGGCATCAACATGCAGCCCCTAAATGTCCCTCCTTCGCACGATAGATTCGTTCGGTCGTATTATCCCGTGACGGGCTGCACGAGCTGATGTACTAAGTGTACGTGTGAACGGGGGTGAACTATGGGCGGCCCGTGACCGGTACGTTGCTCAGCGCCGGCTCGCCGTGGTGGCGGTCCAATTGCTGAGCAAGGCCGAACACCGTACACGTGGGAAGGGGAGTCGACACCCATGTCTCCCATGCCCGTACCATCCGAGCACGTGAGTCCAGGCTGCTCCCGCTGTGACCTGACCGATAATGGTCTGTCACTGACAGTGGAGAGAGCCGTCTGAGCGTCATCTGTAAGCCGCCACTCCGATCCCATGCTACCCCCGAAACCAAAACCATAAAACATCGCTATTGAGGCGACGTTTGCCAGTCGACACCCAGCAGCGACATCAGCTTTGTCGCTTCAGTCCTTGACAGAAGCCGTGATACCGAAATGTTTGTGCGATCCAGTCTGTCGTAACACGAACCAAAGGGTGAACCGTGCTTGTGGTAATTGGGATGTGGTTGCTGCGAGTCTCGCTCCTTGCAGCCTCACGTCACGCTGCTCCGCTCTGTATGTGCGTGAAGACAGTGTCTGTCATCCTCGTCAAACAAGTGCCGTCTATTTGATGTCTGTTCGGGAGGCGAGTCAGGGTACGTTTCCTGAATACGCTGTTCGTCACCTCTGGATGGCCGTATGCCTTGAGATGCGCGTCCCACCTGAAGCTAGTGCTTCGCCTCGCCACCACCAGGTGGACACCCACATTCACGCTGCCAGCAGCATGAATCAGAAGCATCTTCTGCGTTTCATCAAAAAGATGATGAAGACCAACAGCGAGGAGATCGTGTGCATAAATAAGGGGAAGGAGATGACGCTTCGCGACATGTTTCAACACATGAATCTCACGCCGTACGACCTCAACGTTGACATGCTGGACGTGCACGCGGTAAGGCACAGTCTGGGTAGGACAGCGACCCACTTCACTCTCCAACCTCTTGGTTGATCGGCGTTTTATTTCACAAGCGGTATTTGTGTGGCTTGGTTTGCATGTGCGTGCGCAAGGGCGTGGGCCCGTGCGTGCGTGCGTGCGTGCGTGCGTGCGTGCGTGCGTGCGTGTGTATGTGCGTGCGTGCGTGCATGCGCGCTGACTATTTACACTACGAATAGTAAATCTGTGAGGTACCGTCATTTAAGGTGCAGCAAAGGAAGCCCACATGCATGGACCAAATTTGGAACGGTAAGCGGAACGATCTCGACTAATAAAACTTCGCCTCCGCAGGACCGCAACACCTTCCACCGCTTCGACAAATTCAACTCCAAATACAACCCGGTCGGCGAAAGTCGCCTGCGCGAGGTATTCCTCAAGACGGACAACTACATGGAGGGCCGCTACTTCGCCAACATCATCAAGGTTTGGCCGTCGTGCCCAGCGTCCGACACGCATCACCCACCTCCACGCGGCCGTGAGCGTGTTGCACCGGTGGAGCGCGCTGTGCTCTTGGCGTCGTGTGTTGGACCTCTGTGTGGACGTTCGTCGGCGTCGTGTGTTGGACCTCTGTGTGGACGTTCGTCGGCAGGTGTCTCGTGGGCGGCGGGGCGTGTGACGTTGCTGTGACGTCAGCGGGCGGCACCTGGCGCCGACAAGACGTTGCCACACCGGCCTTTTCCGGGCGAGCGCATGCACGTACTGACGCAGTTCTGTCGCGTTGGGCGTCACGCGTGGCGGGGCTGCCTTGGTAGGCCGCCATGAGTTCTGATCGCTTTCTGTTTTGTGCTCAAGAATTAGATGCGGTGGTGTCTGGTTGGGATATCTTGGGTAAATGGGCTCTGTGCCTCCATAACTCTTCACTTTGTAACGTTCCTGGTGTTTGACGCCGGTCAACGGCCCGTGAGATTGGCCAGTATGGTCTTGCAAACGCAGATTTTCACCATTCGTGGGATGTCACACCGTGGGGATGGCATCGTCATTTGCACTATCTAGTGCCGTATATCACTATGTAGTGGGCGTCTCCGGCATTCGTAACCTGCAGCCCCACCCACATCGCATCATACCTGTTGATCTGATGTCCGACATTGACACGGTCCTCAGTCCTTTCCCCTCGCTCGCCGCTTCACCACCGCCCCCTTCACCACCGCCCCCTTCACCACCGCCCCCTTCGCCACCGCCCCGGCTTCGCGTGGGACTCAGCCACGACAACAGCCAACCTCCAGTCAGTCTCCAACCGGACCTCGAGCCCCGTCGCCGCCGCGCGCCCCCTCGCTGTCGCCGGGCGCGCCCGACGCCCCTCCGCCGGCGCTGGCAGGAGGTGTGTTCGGACCTGGAGGAGAGCAAGTACCAGTCGGCCGAGCCGCGCCTCTCCATCTACGGCCGCTCCTCAGACGAGTGGGACAAGCTGGCCAAGTGGGCCGTCAACAACAACGTCTACTCGGACAACGTGCGCTGGCTGGTGCAGACGCCGCGGCTTTAGTGAGTGCCCCTGGTGCGGCGCGGTTGGCGTGCGCACGCCTCGCGACTTGGAGGTGGTGGGGTCGAGGCTGGATGTGGGCGAGATTTCTGTCCTGCAAACGCGGGTGGCGATTTGAAATGCTGCTGAACTCCCCCGGCCATGTTAGTAGTTACATGTGCGCCGGAGTATGTTTGTTCACCTTGGACGTATTATCAATGAGCTAAACATAGCACCATAGCTTAGCACCACACGTAATACTGACGGGATTAATCCGGCGCACGTTCGTACATATCACTGCTGGGCACATCACTTCCTTCCGGTGATAAGTGGTTCCAGCGCCAGCTAAATAGGAGAACGGCTGCTGTTTGAAGTACACAGGATGACCACGGTCCAAAGTGCACAGGATGGCTGCCATTTTCAGCCCCGGGGCGATTGTCAGTTGAGTGCCACTTATTCCGACAGCGACATCTACCGCTCCAACAACCTGGTGAGGAACTTCGCCGAGATCCTGAGCAACATGTTCAAGCCTCTGTTCGAGGTCTCGCTGGACCCCAAGTCTCACCCGGAGCTTCACATGTTCCTCCAGCACGTGAGTTCCCAGTCAATCCCCCTTCAGCATGAGAGTACCTGTTCAGTCCCCTTCAGCACCTGAATCCCCGGTCAGTCCCCTTCAGCACGTGAATCCCCGGTCGGTCCCCTTCAGCATGTGAGTCCCCAGTCAGTCCCCTTCAGCACGTGAATCCCCGGTCAGTCCCCTTCATCACATGAGTCCCCAGTCAGTCCCCTTCAGCACGTGAATCCCCGGTCAGCCCCCTTCAGCACATGAGTTCCCAGTCAGTCCTCTTCAGCACGTGAGTTCCCAGTCAGTCCTCTTCAGCATGTGAGTTCCCGGTCCCGGTTCCCGGTCCCTTCAACACGCGAGTCCCCAGTCAGTCCCTTTCATCACTTGAGTCCCCGGTCAGTCCCCTTCAGCACCTGAATACCCGGTCAGTGCCCTTTAGCACAAGAGTCCCCGGTCAGCCCCTTTACCATGTGAGTCCCCAGTCAGTCCCCTTCAGCACGTAAATCCGCGGTCAGTGCCATTCAGCACGTGGGTCCCGGTCAGTCCCCTTCAGCATGTGAGTTCCCGGTCAGTCCCCTTCAGTACGTGAGTATCCGGTCAGTCCCCTTCATCACGTGAGTCCCCGGTCAGTCCTCTTCAGCATATGAGTCTCCAGTCAGTCCCCTTCAGCACGTGAGTCCCCGGTCAGTCCTCTTCAGCATATGAGTCTCCAGTCAGTCCCCTTCAGCACGTGAGTCCCCGGTCAGTCCCCTTCAGCACGTGAGTATCCGGTCAGTCCCCTTCAGCATGAGAGTCCCCGTTCAGTCCCCTTCAGCACGTGAATCCCCGGTCAGTCCCCTTCAGCACGTGAGTCCCCAGTCAGTCCTCTTCAGCACGTGAGTCCCCAGTCAGAACCGTTCTGGCACCTTTAGACCTGGCTGGTGTTGTGGGGACACCATTAGCTGCGGGCCCTGTTTTTCAGACATGTAGCAGTGTTTAACTCGGGACTGAACATTTCGACCATATTTTTGGTCTGATACATATTGCAGCGGAAGAGAACCGCTGTAACAGCGTCATTTAACTCAGAGGTGGTGTGTATTGCAGCACAGGAGAAACGTTGTAGCGGTGCCGTGGATAGCTCAAACAAGAAGTATTTAAGTCCGAGGCCCGTCATGTTCTTCAGCTCTCTGCGAACCGCGGCGTTGTGTCCGCGAATTTCCCACGCAACTCTGCGTAACGCCGAGCGCGTGGTGACGCACAGCCTTCGCGCGCGCGCGGCTCGCTGTTCCACCCCGATGTGACCCACTCTGACGCCCCGCCAGCTGGTGGGCTTCGACTCGGTGGACGACGAGAGCAAGCCTGACAACATCGTGTTCGACCGGGAGGCACCGCTGCCGAGCGCCTGGAGCCAGCCGGAGAACCCGCCCTACGTCTACTACATCTACTACACCTACGCCAACATGGCCGTACTCAACGCGCTTCGAGAGTGAGTGCCGCACGCCTGGGCCATCTGAGCACAGCTGGTGGGCTGGGATGAAGTGAGATGTACGAACACGATTCTGTAGAACTGTACGAACGTGCTGTCGGCACAGATTAAGGTTCTTCTTAGCCTTAGAACGACATGTGCTACAAGCCACCTCTGTGCTGATCTCGAAATACGCCTGGTGTATTGATAATTGACGTACCGCACACATTCCGCGCTGCTCTGCTCCTGGGGGATATCTCACCAGCCATGTGAGGGAGATGTTCCTGTTTGCTGCGCGATGACAGACGCGAGCTTACCGATCTGACGCATTCACGTGGCGTGCAGCTGTAACTGCAACAGCAAGCTCTAACCTGACAGCCTGTGTTGGGTTTGGCAGGGAGCGCGGCCTGAACACGTTCGTGTTTGTGTTGGGTTTGGCAGGGAGCGCGGCCTGAACACGTTCGTGTTTGTGTTGGGTTCGGCAGGGAGCGCGGCCTGAACACGTTCGTGTTTTGTGTTGGGAGGGCAGGGAGCGCGGCCCTGAACACGTTCGTGTTGTTGGGTTCGGCAGGGAGCGCGGCCTGAACACGTTCGTGTTTGTGTTGGGTTCGGCAGGGAGCGCGGCCTGAACACGTTCGTGTTTGTGTTGGGTTCGGCAGGGAGCGCGGCCTGAACACGTTCGTGTTTGTGTTGGGTTTGGCAGGGAGCGCGGCCTGAACACGTTCGTGTTTGTGTTGGGTTTGGCAGGGAGCGCGGCCTGAACACGTTCGTGTTTCGGCCGCACTGCGGCGAGGCGGGGCCCGTCAACCACCTGGTGTCCACCTTCATGATGGCGCAGTCCATCAACCACGGCCTCGGCCTCCGGAAGGTGGGTGTTGTCCCTGATTTTTTCGCGTTTCTCGCACCACTATAGGAAGAGTGAACACCTTTTTGAAATAGACTTCTAAGAGTGGCATTCTGCTGTAGTGGAGCATTTGCCTGGAGACGCAAAGGTCGTTGATTTGCGACATCCCGCCTGCCGAGTTTGAGCTTCCGCGTCGGCATCGGCGCGAGAGATTTGAAGGCTGGTGGCATTAGCGGTTGTCCGTACTCTAACGGGATCCAAGGCGAGAATTTTCGGTCCCGTTTTTACAGAAAGCAAACCTGCGTCGTTTGTCATTCATAGTTAATTGAAAAAGTCCACCACAGACTTTCTGGAAACGCCTTCTCTGCTTGGGCTCATGCTTAGGCCGTTTTGTGTTGTTTTTCAATTCCAGACTTAAAATAACAGGATTGAAGGAGCCGGAACTCTTCAAAAACTGCGGTATAGTACCTTTACGGTACAGCGGCGGCTGGTATATATAAAGTTTGTTTGACACGGGTCCGCGGTACCTTGCCAGGCGCCATATGATACAGTGTTGTGCAGTGTCTTTCTGATTTGGAGTTGCTTGGCTGTGGTCCATATCCAACCATAACTTAGATTACAATGCCAACAGTTGGTACTGCCAGATTTTAGCTCATTAACATGTACTTGCTTGCGGTCCGGTGCGTCTTGCACGGAGCCTGACGGCCGCAGCCCCGCTGACGGAGCTCGTGCCTCCAGGTACCGGTACTGCAGTACCTGTACTACCTGGCTGAAATCGGGCTGGCTATGTCGCCGCTGAGCAACAACTCGCTGTTCCTGAACTACCCCCGCAACCCGCTGCCGGAGTACCTGGCGCGCGGCCTGAACGTCTCGCTCTCCACCGACGACCCGCTCCAGTTCCACTTCACCAAGGAGCCGCTCATGGAGGAGTACAGCATCGCCGCCCAGGTTCGTGGGCGGCTCGGTGCAGCGGCGGCGCGGTGTCAGCTGAGGTGTAAGCTGTCGCGGTGGCCAAGCTAGATGATGTTTTTAAAGTCATTGCTGGATCTACGGAAAGAAACGAGTGGTCTGAGGTCGGATACTACGGCCAGAAATGATGGAGGAGGGACGGAAGAAACCGTTCGCAACTCAGGAAGAAGCAGCGTTGATCCTTTGGAAAAGTCGCGTGGGAAGATTCTTGGTAAACATCGCGATTTACGTAGCTCACCAGAGGATCTCCTGCCAATGTTGGCGACGGTCGTGATGATCGCAACAGCTGTGTGGAACTTAAATGTGTAATTTTCTGTGCGACGTGTTCAATGATCCATATGCTCGGAAGGCTTTCTATCTCCATCGGTTAGAAACGGATCAGGATGGCGTGCCGTGCTCACCCGCGTGCAAGTAAGTGTCAGCCGGCCTGGCGCCATCAACCGGCCGTGAATGACGCTCCGCCGCCTGCCGCAGGTGTGGAAGCTGAGCTCCACCGACATGTCGGAGCTGTGTCGCAACTCCGTGCTGCAGTCGGGCTTCCCACACGAGATCAAGCAGCACTGGCTGGGGCCCAACTACACGCGCGAGGGCGTGGCCGGCAACGACGTGACGCGCACCAACTTGCCCGACATCCGCGTCTCGTACCGCTACGAGACCATGCTGGAGGAGCTGACCACCATCTTCCAGGGCGTGACGCCCGACCCCGTGGACGAGGTGCAGCGCTACACGCAGAGCCGCGACGACAGCAGCCGCGACCACTCGTCCGAGCCGGCCGGCGCGCGTTAAGTGACACCTCGTGGCGGCCGCTCGAGGGTGGCTTTGTATTGGTTCTCGTCGTCGCTGGCGGCTGGCGAGGGAGGACCAGGCGCTGAGTGACATCTCGTGGCGGCGGTGCGAAGCTGGTGTTCATGCGCTTCCCGCGGCCCAGCTCCCAGCTCCGCCATGGCGTGGCCGAACGGAGAAGTCCGTTGTGGCCTCGAACAACTCTCCGACACCATACGCTGGTGGAGCTCTCTGGGAGGTCTCCGCTGCCTGCAGCGATGCGCTGACCGAATTTCGAGAACAATGACATTTTGGTCATTCTGTTGTGGTCTTACACTCAGTATTTTATCGGTGTATGGTCTCTTCGCGTCTCCGCTCTAGTTCTTTTATTTTTAGAATTTACTGCCGTGCGGTTGGGGCGTCGTGTTCATGGCGGCTAGTGACGCTTGAACGCGCTTCTGCGGCACCCCATCACGCGCCGCCGCCAAGTGTTTGGTTTATGGAAGCTATCTTTTCTATGTCTTTTATTTGCAATCAGGACTTTCACGAGCGGGTTGTTTGCACATGTATGCCGGCCAGACGCCAATCATGACGACGTGATCCTGTGGTGGGCCTGTGGCGGCGAAGGCGTTACCGTCGCATAGTGCGAGGTCATCACCAAATACATGCCGAAAACGAGCTCGTGTGATTGCCCACCTCTATGTCGCAGCACCGGCGGAATGGATCGACTAGAGGCCGTCACCAGGGATGGAGTTTTTCAAAACAAGTGTGTGTGTGTGAGGGGCTGAACAGTGGAAAATGGCGAAACTTTCCCTAAAAATACAAGCTTTTCCACTACGGAGCCGTCACGATACGGGGGAGCTCCATATAGTGAAGACCACAGCTGCTATCAGAGCTAGGGAGACCCGAGTTCCACCCCCAGTTGAAAAGAAAACTACATCCCGGCCAACAGCTGTCTCGGTAGGGCTCCCATTCTCCAACGCGGCGAGCTGAGCAGGTACGTCTTCCCCGTGCCGATGGCGTGACGCCCTGGAGACGCGCGATTGGCGAGCACCGCGACCGTCAGTGGTGGGCCCGCGTGCGGGCAGCTCCCCCTACATCTGTGGTCGGTTGGCGGTGCGAGCAGGACGGTGGAAACCGACACGGGCGGAACGAGGGCTCGGCTCGGGCGGGGCGAGGGTTCGGCTCGGGCGGGGCGAGAAGCCGGTTCGGACGGTACAAGGGACCAATCGGTGCGGGTTGAGCCGCCTGCAATGCTTTCGACTGCCGAGCACGACGGGCGCGACAATGTAAAACGACGGGCAAACACCACCGCTATTGCCCCAGTCGTGACACAACATAACATAGCGTTACTGAAAAGTGCGAAGCAGAATGGGAAACGCATGAAACTCATTTGCTGCTGTGGATTCACCTTGGAACGTCACAACCGGTATGTGTGCGGAAACCTAGGGCCTCGACCGCCAACGGTAATAGCGCGTTGACTCAAGGCGCCGTCACCAGCACCCCACACGAAGTGAGAATAAACAAACCTTCGCAGGCATACTGAAAATAGCTTTTCGCTAGTGTTTGTCTAAATAATTTTTACTTGCTTGAAATGCCGTTTTGTAAAAGGACAAAAGTACTTCGCAGGCAGCACTAATATGCTCGTTGTCACTGACAGCGCACCTTTTTGAACATCGTTGTCTCTTGCTTTTGTGATTGGGACATTTACAGCGCATGTGTTTCCTTCATCTGAATTGTTTGGCGCCGTTCGGACCACGGTTCTTCCATATACAGACGCGTTCTTCGAGGCCAGTAGGGTGTCGGTTGTGTGGGGTAAGACGAAGTGGTATGAACTTATTTTTTCATCCATATTATCTGTAAATTGATTCGCTGATCTAACGGAATGCGCACTGCAATAAACAAGCAGTTTAGTCAACTTGCAGTACCATTGTCTGAAATATGCTGCGATGTCAGGGTTTCCTGACACCATGATTCCATGCCTGTAGTAATTTTATGCCTTTTTGACACAAGTTTGGGATTCAATTTGGTTTTGAACTGAAAATATATGCATGCAAGAGGATTGATTACCTCTAGAGCTGTAAATGTGTCTAGTTCAACTGGCTTACCAGAACACTGAGTTGCTCATACACATTGCAGAAATTTAAAACTTGCACTGCTGGGTGGAGCAATGTGGTAATGCACATTTACTAGCAGCAGCCCTAGCACAGTTTTGTAAACAATAATTGTTTATAATGGTATGTGCCCATATCCATGAATATGTATGCATAAATTGTTCATCAATCTCCATTCAAATTTGCAACCTTTCAGGTGAGAGCACTGTGGTTTTGGTGGTGTGGTGTAATGCCAGCTATATAGATTATTCCCTTAGGGATTTTGGCAGCAAATGTTGCAGTGCCATTGCCACAGCGCTAGAAGCAGAGCATTCCAATCTTATTTTTGATCATAGGGTCTGTAAGATAGTTAAACATGCAAAAATATGTGTTCTGCTATGTGTGGGTCTAAGATGGGTATGGGCATCAGCTGAACATTTATGAATGACAGTGCCAAGTGATCACTTACTGCCACCATACACTTTCATAAGCATTTAGTTTGTTATATAGAAAATGGTATGTTTATTGAGGTGTGTGAGAAATAATTATGTCCTTGCTTACCTCAACTGATGAACTACCTTTTGTCTCTAATGCATTTTATCCAAAGTCTTCATAAGAAAACTTGTTATTACACTTGATACCACTGCACTAGACTGGAAAACCTAGCATGCTGTGGTGAACTATATCATAGGTATGCATATATCAACAGTGGGTTAGTGGATACTGCTGTCAGGTGCACAGCTCAAGTGTCATGCACACAGTCTGTCAGTTCCAGTTGTAGACTACTACATGGCCATTCCATATATCTTCAAGTACAATGGCTGATCTGGATGTGCACACAACGAAAAATTATTACTTATGCCCCTCATTCAAAAGTATGCAAGCATCAGGTGGACATTCAGGTGTGACAAGCTGGCATGATACAGATTCCAGACTGGTCTGTGTGGTGCTCATGATAGCTTCCTGCATGGGAATGAAAGATCTCACCATTGCCTTGTAACATGCCACTGACAATGTGGTGTATGCTTCTCTCCTTCCCACTTCCCTGCATATAATGCTGAATCTTTGAGCCAATTTGGTTTGAAAGCAGGTGCACACTCATTTGCCTGCTGGATGATAAGTCACAACGTGCTGAACACATCTTGCACCTTTTAAGCATCGGATTTTGTTCAATGCATCACATGTAGATAAATGCTATGCACTCAACATATGCAACTTTGATTCAGATTCAGATTCAGATTGTGGTCTGTACTGAAAGAGTTTAAGAAGGTTTTGATTGAATCAATCCCAAGTTGGGTGGACCACATATCTCCAGCATTTGTTAATTGTGATGTATCATGTCAATGATATTCATTATGATGCATGATCATCTGCCTCACACAGCACCATGTGCCATAGTGAAGCAAAACACGGGAAGACTGAAAAATTGTCTTTTGCAGATTCATTGGGCCTTGCCAGGTAATCATTGGTACATCACCTGGGCAAGTGATGTTGACCTCAAAAGCTCTGGAGCTGATCAGAGAGCTGAAGCGCTCGCCGGACAGCCTGCCACCATATAACGTGAGTCGCTGTCTGCTGGCCAAAACCTTGCCGGCATCCCTCCCTCATCTCTCCTGCACTGAAAGTGAAAATGTGGCTGATTTGCACCATACAGCATGGACAAGCGACATTCGCTTTAGTTGTGTTAAGAAATCCAAATGCACCAAGTAAACGTGGTGGCACTCCTAGCTGTTTTTGAAAATTATCCTTAGTTGTTTTCTATTCGCTTTTGGAAACCTTGGGAAAGCCTTCATGGTAAGGCACATTAAAGGGGGTGTCTCGCCTTGTGGGGCGTATTTCAAAGACATTTTGGGCGAAACCTCAGGACTAGTTACATTCAATAATAGCACTGGGTAATGTCACCGCAGCACCATCAAGACATAATGAGGGCATCAATATTAATTCATTTCGAACCCAAATTACTCTGTCAGCGCTTTACAACAGCACTACACTTTTTCCCTGCGGTCGCGATCACCGTCGTCATGACGACCACCATGTGCATCTCTACTATGGGCGCAAAGTGACCATTGTCGTCGACTCACCTTAAAGCACCAATAAACAACAAATAAAGCGCACATCTACTGGCGAGAATAAAAGAACGTTGCCCGTAATGATTTGATAAAAATAAACGTTGAGCGTAATGACTGGCCCAGCGGGCGAAGGAATGTTGCCGAGGAGCACGTTGGTTGAAGTTTGAACCATTGTTTCATATGGATGATGAGATACTCCCATTCCCAAAGTCAAAGTGTGCCTGTAAAAGAGCCAAGGTGGCAAACGTCATAGGGGAAAAGTCAGAGCCATCGTGTAATGCTCCGCTGAATTCGCGGGATAAAAGCTTCATGTTCGCATATCTGTTTGTCTTAGCAAAGTACTTAACGCTTTCGTAGCATTTATTACACGAACATTTTGAAACCTTATTGTGTTGCAAGCATTACAGAACACATTGGAAAAGCAAGGCAAAAAGCTTACGTAGTGGTGAGCAGGGAGTGAAATGAGATTTCTCCCGCAGCGGCGGCTTCTTCAAATCAAAATTCTGGGGTAATCGGAAGGCTTTTTAGAAAACCAGTATTGCCGACCAAAGCGTACGTGTCTGATGTAATAATAAGTGTTAAGCACAGAAGATGGGATGCTCCCTTTAAGGGGACCGTGATACATGTGTTGGGGTCAGTAGTCATAGCTAGCGAATCCAATTGATTCCATGCTTCACTATGAAGGTAATTGTATTACGAAATGAGTCGTTTTGTTTCCAGCGAGATTCTGGATGCTCGACTTGAATGCATCGTCAAGGGAGAATTTTTGTTATATGTAGCACAGACGTAATTCGTGATTGAAACTGACTCAGCCGTCAATTGGGAGCCGGTTCACATTGTCGTCGATTGGGAGCCGGTTCACGTTGTCTTCGATTGGGAGCCGGTTCACACTGTCGTCGATATTCACACTGCTACATATTACAAAAAAAACGTCATCTGGGAGAAATTTCGCACCGGGCAGAACATCAGTCGTTCATAAAATATATCGGATGACTGGAGTACTATCAGCAGATGTCAGTGGTCACAATATCATAAGTGCCATAATTGATGGCAGATTTCATAATGCTCGCTAGATGCATTTGTTTAAAGGGAGCATTCCACTTTCATATGGGATTTTCAAGTTCAAGAGCCATTTTGAAGATCATTCGGTGTAGTTCACAGCCGTGCCCTTCCTAATACCCCAAACCCTCTAGTTTCTGAGGTACACGCCCACAAAGACGTGCACACTTTTTCGTGCGGCCTATTTGAAGGTCATTCAGGCACGCATGACGCCAGAGAAACGTCATTGATGTCCTGTTACCCCATGGATCATGCGGCGTTCAAGGCCAACAAGAATATAGCCACCGAGCCGCTCATGTCTGGCGTTCCAGGTCACGATTTCCCGACACAATGGACGTTAATTCAACGACGTTGAATCGGCGGCAATGTGAACCGGCTCCCAATCGACGATAATGTGAACCAGCTCCCAATCGTCGAAAATGTGAACCGGCTCCCAATCGACGACAACGTGAACCAGCTCCCAATCGACGGCAGTGTGAACCAGCTCCCAATCGGCGACAATGTGAACCGGCTCCCAATCAACGATAATGTGAACCGGTTCCCAATCGTCGAAAATGTGAACCGGCTCCCAATCGACGACAACGTGAACCGGCTCCCAATCGACGACAATGTGAACCGGCTCCCAATCGACGACAATGTGAACCGGCTCCCAATCGACGACAGTGTGAACCGGCTCCCAATCGAAGACAACGTGAACCGGCTCCCGATCGACGACAATGTGAACCGGCTCCCAATTGACGGCTGAGTCAGTTTCAATCACGAATTACGTCTGTGCTACATATTACAAAAAATTGACATCCTTGCTAGTTATTACCGAAATATGACTTCTAATCAAGTAAAGTAAGGGTGAGGGGATTATTTTTCAATGCTTGATGGATGTTAATGGAAGTCTTTCATGTGTCTTCCCATCAACGCATGGGATCTTCCATTTTGCTAGCCACTCTTTATTCTTGCCATTGGCCTTTTGATGGTTAAGACACCATACCGGCACTAATAATGTTTTACATGCAGTTAACTCGCTATTCCACTTTGGTCCACGGACTTACATTTTCTGCAGCATCTGAACTTGTAACAGTTTTTACCATCAGTAGTTTCCGCCAGGCGGTTTTAACCAGTTAAAACCGGCGATCAGAAACTGTCAGCGAGCTTCTGCCAACTCCTGAATCGATAGCCCGTAGCTCTGGGGAAGGAATCCCCGAATTCAGTTGACTTGTTTGTCAGTGAGCGCCTCTCGACGCTGTCTTCCCGCAGGCCGTGCTTCCCCCGCTTCCCCCACTATCACGCTCACCATCACCGGGAACGCCGTCAGGCGCCGTTTCTGCCTGCTAGATGCCTTCACTGGTAGTGCTTTTCAGAGGTGGTGTTAAGGGGGGGGGGGGGGAGAAGGTCGCGAGGTGTTGCCCCATCTGTTGTACCTCGGCTGTCGACAGATCTCGTGCGACGCTCAATTCCCATTAACAAAGTGTTGGTTCAGTGCACTCGTGCTGTCAACATAAATTTTCATTTTTTTTCCCATTCGAGCATGAACTAACCACGTAGTAATGCACTTTCTGTTGCTGAAGCACAACCGTTGGCATGGTCACTCTTTTTACCGTGCGTATATGAAGACGCGTTGCCTCTTACCGACCTGCAGAGCCAAGGACATGGACTGAACCTAAGACAACTCCACCTGCTCCCGCGAGCCCCCACGGATGCCAATGTGCTCTCACCCTTTTGGAGGGCGCTCAGCGATGACTGAGTCGTCGCGGGTCGTGTCGAGGCCCCTTTGGCGGTCACTGCTGAACTCGCCGCCCACCCTCACCACTGACGCGTGCCGGCAGGAGGAGTCGGTCCGCCTCGTGCTGCAGGAGGTCCGCGCGCTCTTCGACGACAACCGGCGTGACGTGTAAGTGGGCTCGAGACTCGGCGCGCCGCTCAGCCGAGCGTGCCGCCCGGCTGGGCGCACGGCTCACCTGGGCGCGCCGTTCGGCTGAGCGTGCCGCTCGGCTGAGCGCGCCGTTCGGCTGAGCGTGCGACTCGGCTGAGCGCGGCACTCGGCTGAGCGCGCCGCTCGGCTGACTGTGCCACTCGGCTGAGCGCGCCGCTCGGCTGAGCGCGCCGTTCGGCTGAGCGTGCGGCTCGGCTGAGCGCGCCGCTCGGCTGACTGTGCCGCCTAATTGCTCTGCAGATGCTAGTTAGCTGGTAAAACGGATGGGGGCCTGAGGGGGTGTTTTGTAGTGTTTGCTTTCGTTAGAGACTAAAAGTGCATGGACGCCAAATTATCATGGTTGGCGCACCCTAGAAATCCAATCATCATCACCATCGAGTGTTATTTAGTCAAAGTGTAAAATCTCGGTGTCAAATTTGTGAACTTTTCAAAGTTGTGAAATTTTGTGTTTTCCATTCTGAATCGCGACGATTCTCGTATTACCATAGTTTTCACAGCGCAGCACGCATCAAGAGGATGGCCGGATTTGTTATGGAAGAATAGACGGCAAACATCCAGGTGGAGATAGTTCAGTAGCGGGCCTTTTCTCCAACACGGGTATTATGCTGGGCAGTTTGCCAAGTGTCTCGATCTGCGCCAGTCGTAAGCAATTTGACGACTGCGCGGATCTGTGGTCTGCGGAGGTCGTAAGCAATTTGACGACCGCGCAGATCTGTGGTCTGCGGGGCTCTGTTAACCGTGACCTGTCGTCTAGCGGCGACTAGCCTGACGTCACGCCTCCAGCGGGGCCGTCACCGCCGCCCGCCGCCCGTGTTCCTCCGCCGCGCACCGCCTGACCCGGGACCGTGACCTCCCGCCTCCTGTGTTCCTCCGCCGCGCACCACCTGACCCGGGGGCGTAATCGTCTCCCGCCTCCCGTGTTCCGCCGCCGCGTGCCGCCTGACCCGGGGACGTGACCTCCGGCCTCCCGTGTTCCGCCGCCGCGTGCCGCCTGACCCGGGGACGTGAACGCGCCCATGACGAGTTCGTCGGATTCCCGGACCGCCGCGCGCTCGGAGCTGGCGCCCTCTGTTTGGCGGCGTCGCTGGGCGGTCGTCGGCCGGGGCAATAGAGACACTGCCGTCGACTCAGCTCCGGCGCGCCGGAACGCAGCGACGGTATTGCTCCTCGGTCGCCCCGGGACCTCCCCAGCTGGCGGCGGCGCCCGGCGGCCTCCGGTAATGCGCACCGTTCAGGGAAGCAGGTGTTTCGGTTGGCTGGCTGGCAGCTTATTGGAGGAAACAGAGGCGGTATGGATGTAATGGCTGGCGGCGGAGCTGTCCGACGCGGACAGCTGACGCGAACACGACCGGCGCTCGATCAGAGCTAGGGCGGACACGACTGGTCGTCACGCGCAGCTAGCTAAGCCATCGCCGAGCACAGCAGCAAACGTAAATTAGCGTGGGAATGCGTCTCTCAGACCAAGAGTCGTTAGATTCAACCTGCGCATTGCAAACCTAAAAGGATATAAGTGTGCACCATCCATCGTATCTTGTGCACCATTGACCATTGCTAAGGAAATATAATTAGCGCTTAGAAGGGCATGGGAGTGAACAACGAACCTATATTTTTCACAGATTCAACGTAGATGTGGATGTGGAGCGTGGCGGAGGGGTGTGCGCATTGCAGTTTTACCCACAGGCTTTTTTACTGGGGATGGCATTTGCCCATTTTGCCGAGTGGAGTTGGGCGACAACACCCCTGTCCGCGGTCACGATTCGCACGTGTCCCATAGCCAACTATGGGACCCGTCGTGAGAACACGTGCGACACGCAGGAGCTCTCCACATCCACAGTGGAGTGGGGCGTCTCTCCGCTGCCCGTGATGACGGCTCGGCGCGCTTCGCAGGGTGGACCTGGACGGCAGCGCCGGCAGCAACCTGTCGGTGGCTGTCTGGGTGCGACACGCGGCCATCGAGCGCAACAGACGCTGCCTGCTCGCGTACCTGTGAGTAGCTCTGGCGGCAGACGTGTGGTCGGGCACGGACCCTGGACCCGGATCCCTGTCATCCTTGAAGTGCATGCTGTCAGTTTCGAAGGGCCCATCAAAGGGTGTGATTATGGCAGTGCTTGTACCTTTGCATGAGTGCTCATCAGCGTCGTGGTTTACCATTACCAAACAAGTCTGTGATTTCGGCGCTTCGCTCAGCTGTGAGTCACTCTTATCAAAGATTGTTGGGATTCCCAGGTGGCATGAAGTGTTTGTTTGGGAAGCCATGGGCTGCATTGGCATTCAGACTAGGTTTTTTCGATTCATTATTTTGTATCTGTTATGGTGATCAACATTCATATCACGGGAATTCTGGCGCCAGCGAGCTTCGAGCTCGGAGTGACTAATTTATCCAGCATTCCGCCGTGCGTTGTCTTCGGAGAGCCTGAGTGGGAGGCCGCATCATCGACAAGAACGGGCGTAAACTGTTACACTTGAACCCATGGCGAGCTTCCATAGGCGCCTTCTTTTGTCCTTAGATCGTCTTCCTCCTGGTGTTGCGGTCTTACGCTCTCACCCATTAGCCGACCATCGGCCAGTGTTTGGTACTAGCCGTGATCGAGCGCCGGTGCTGGAGCGGCGACCGGAAGGGGCTGCGGACCCGCCAGGCCGGAACACGGCTGTCCTACGGCTGCCCCCTTGGCGGCACCCCCGTCTACCAGCCGCAGGCGCCCCGTCGCGTCGAACCTGCGACGGTGACTCGTCGCCGGTCGGCCGGAGGGGCCGCGACGCCGCGGGCAGGGGCCGCGCGCGTCGCTCGGCGTGGGGCAGGCGCCACCGCCGGCGCTCGAAGCGCCGGCGCCGGTGAGGGTCGGGTCGGGTGGGGCGGGCCGGACGGCTCGCTGGGCCGGCGTGGAGAGCGCGCCAAGAGGACGCCACCGTTGCGGCGTGGAGTCGGACGTCGTGGTACGGGCCGTTGTCGGACGCGGCTGGGACAGTGTAGCGAGCCGGCGGAATGCGTGCGACGTCCGGCGGGCGGGCGAAGACAATGCTCCAAATTGGTTCTTGTGGGAGGTGACCTGGTCTCCTCCTAACGGCATAGCAGTACTGCTGGCGCCACCTAGCGAAACTGAGACGAGGGTCACGTAAAACGGCACCGCTGACAATGTTTAGCGGCACTTAGCGGTATTTAAAACCCCTGAGCGTTATGTTTTGCATTCGGTGCTCATTTTCTGGCAAAAACGAGGACGCAGTATGGTGGCATCCTTGCCTGTTTCTCCTCCTACTTGCCACATCCTTGCCACCTGTAAGGTATGCGTTGTGATGACGATCCGTGTGGATTTGCTGCATACGGGGTCCACCATTCACCGTACCCAAAACCAGCGACACCGACCTGTCAGCTAATCGCGATCGCATTACGCAGCGTCACGGTCGTGGCATTGATTTGTGTCCTAAGCGCCTCCAGTCCGTGCTATCACCAAGGCGCAAATGAGCTCTATCGTGTCTGATGTTATAATGGCGACTTGCGAGGGATGCAAGTCAAACGCGCCTCTGTCGTTCAACGCTTTGCGAGTAGGCTTGACCCGGCTACAGTGGCTTGGCTGGCGGGGTAGCGGGGACTTCTGCGAGGTTGTGTGGTATCGGGGACCCCTGCGAGGTTGTGTCGTAGCGAGGACCTCTGCGAGGTTGTGTGGTATCGGGGACCCCTGCGAGGTTGTGTCGTAGCGAGGACCTCTGCGAGGTTGTGTGGTATCGGGGACCCCTGCGAGGTTGTGTCGTAGCGAGGACCTCTGTGAGGTTGTGTGGTATCGGGGACCCCTGCGAGGTTGTGTCGTAGCGAGGACCTCTGTGAGGTTGTGTGGTATCGGGGACCCCTGCGAGGTTGTGTCGTAGCGAGGACCTCTGTGAGGTTGTGTGGTGGGCCTCTGTCAGGTTATGTGGTGGAAAGGGACTCTGCGCGCTGCCTCTCCACATCGTTCCGTTTCAGAGTGCTTGCTGAGGGAATCATTATTCATTATTCGGAGTGAATGAAATTGACTCTGCGACGCTAGCCGCTCCAACCCTTTCGGGGGACAACGCAGCCGTGTCGGACATCGCTAAGCCAGGCTAGGTGCGAGCATCTGTATACCACTGTCCTGTGCGAGCGTCTGTGTACCACTGTCCTGTGCGAGCATCTGTATACCACTGTCCTGTGCGAGCGTCTGTATACCACTGTCCTCTGCGAGCGTCAGTACATCACTGTCCTGTGCGAGCGTCTGTATGCGACTGTCCTGTGCGAGCATCTGTGTACCAATGTCCTGTGCGAGCGTCTGTATACCACTGTCCTCTGCGAGCGTCAGTACATCACTGTCCTGTGCGAGCGTCTGTATGCGACTGTCCTGTGCGAGCATTTGTATACCAATGTCCTGTGCGAGCGTCTGTATATCACTGTCCTGCGCGAGTGTCTGTATACAACTGACGTCTGCGAGCATCCGTATACCACTGTCCTGTGCGAGCGGCTGTATATCACTGTCCTGTGCGAGCGTCTGCATACAACTGTCCTGTGCGAGCGTCTGTATACAACTGTCCTGTGCGAGCGTCTGCATACAACTGTCCTGTGCGAGCGTCTGTATACAACTGTCCTGGCGGACGGAAGACACTTGCAGCGTTGATTCGTATTCGAGGTCGGGACGATATAAAAATGGGCCGACATCACGTGCAGATGGAGGCCTTTGTTCTTCCGTGAGCGGAACTAAGACTATATGAAGGTGAGGATTGAGGAGCTTGTTCGCGCGCTGTTTACTTCTTGTAATCATGCGTGAGCTTTCAAATGGCATCTCTGCTTGGCTGCGCCGATGGATTTCTTTTTAGTTACATGATGCAGTTTTAATTGTTATGTGTTAGGTGGCGGAATGGTTTGCTGCGATTGGACCACTTCTTCGTTTTATCGAAGTTGTAATGATGCATTGCCTTCCTGGGTGTTCGTGAACCTTTCAGATGGTTAATGTCCTGTCCCAAAGGTCGGTTTGGTTTCAACTGAAAACCTGCCAGCTCATGTGGCCCAGCGTTTTCCCCGTATTCCACTCCACCATAAGCGTGGAAACTTGCGACTGCAGCAATGATGACATCAACTAGCGGCGGTAGCTTGCTGTGCGACACTTTAGAAACCTAATGGTTGTTTATCCCTTCTTTCTCGAGCAACAACAAAGTCCTTGGCAGATGTATCTTGTCCCGCTTGCCCTGGTCCGCACCATGCTTCGCCCAATGCTCTCAGTACGCATACCGACCCTGTCACTCAGTGTCACCTTATCAACGCTGTATGCCGAAGTGCATAAACCATTGGCGAGGTCGCGTCGCGCTGCGAATAACGGGCTTTGGTGAATCAATTTGAATGTGATTAGACCAGCGATGGCCATCGACCACGTGGCTTGAACTGTTCAAAAACACTTGGACATAAAGACCTTCACTTGAATAAGACACGTCGACGTAAAGTGGCTGGACTTATCTAACTGGATTTAGCCCTTTTTATCCCTCGTCGAAGAAATTCCATGCATTTCGTAGTTTTTGTGATTGTTGTGCACATCTCAGTCACTTAAACCATTTTGTATAAATTTTCTTGTCTTGTGACTTGTTATGACAACAGACTTCTTAAAAGAAATGTTTCACATTTGAAGATATTGGGACAAACATTAGATATGATGGCATAAGCTCACGTATAAGTAATGGTTAATTTTTTAGTGTAAAAGACTGCTTAAAAAAACAACTTAATTTGACTTTCGTAAATATGCTTCCCAGCGCGTCATCGTTTGATTGCATCCTGGAACTTTTGTATGACGTTAGAGCGGTTGCCACACTAGCCTTTGGAAATTGCCACCGTAACGGACGGGCTGGCTCATTTGAAGTACTTAAACCTGTCGAGAGGCGTCGTGCTGATCAGTGCGTTATTTACCGACCCCAAATATCGTTACGTTCGCGCATTTCGGCCCTTTCTCTTGGCATTACTGCACACAAATCTGCTGTTTTATGTTGGTTACTTGCATTCACATCTCCATTCTGGCTGGCGTTTTTCTCGAGTTGTTCGATTTCCAGATTTCCGTCACAACTCGTACCACTGCCCAATTTCCTGTATGATATAGCACAAAACGTAATTCATGTACGGAAATTGCACTGAACGCATGACATTGAGGACTTACTGACGGCAGTCGGTGCCAGAAATCATGCTGACGCACGCTAGATGTGAATAAATCAATGTGATATTTTCTTTGGCCTTGAACGTCACATGACCAATGAGGTGGCAGTATTCTCTTGATGTTTCTGTAGTGCAGTGCGTGCCTGGTGACATTGAAATAGTCTGGTCGAGTTCGCGGGCGTCAAGCTCAGAAGACCGAGGGTTTTCGTTCGCAGTCTTGCGAAGGGCATGACCGTGAACCACACTGAATGATCTTGGAAATGAACACCTTAGTTCAAAACCCCAAACAAATATGGAAGGAACACTTTCTTTAAGGTACATCAAAAAGTGTTGGGCCGAATGGGAGTACAGCCAGTCGTACCTGTAATTAGTACATAATTATGTGAAAAGAACGAATTGATGCTGTATTTCCCTCATCCACCCATGTCCTGTGCGCATGCATATCAATGGTAGGTCCGTTGGGTAGTGGGAATTGCTTGCATCCTACCGCCAGGTTTGAATAAGTTTATTTATCACTGGAATAACAAAAATGCATCCTTTGCCTTTAAGTTTCAGTTATGGGCATGAGTTTTGACCATTTGTCTAAGGGCACTACGTGCACCACGGTTAGGCAATTAGCTTGTCTCGCTGCTTTTCCTTTAGTATAATTATACTGAGAAAGAGCTTGCGGTTATTTTGCATTATGTTGGCATTGATGCTTTTAAATATAATCGTGGAAATTGCTGCATTTGAGATTCTGGCCAATTTCTGCCAGTTTTGTCACCATTTGTTTCCCATCCGGCTTAAGTCGGTTCATACCGACTGGAAGAAATGGTTTCAGCCGGGTGCTGCCAATCTTGCTGACTGAAAT